ATATATATATATATATACGTCCCAAAGACAAGAAATTAGAAAATAGAAGGAAAACGAAAGTAAGTTAATAGTAGATAATATTAAGCGCTAAAGCTGCATTAAATATGATCACTAAAACAAAGCATAATAAATAAATGCAAAAAGGAAAAAAAAACAAGAAGAAAATTAAGAAAAACAACAAGTTTTATTTACTGCGCATAAGCTGTGAGTAAACAGAACTCATAAAATAACTTCAAAATGTTGAGAAAACATGGAAAAATTACAGAACAATAAAAAAAAGGGGGAAAGGAAAAATAATAATAAAAATAAACAAGAAACAGAGGAGAAAAAAAAATTCGAAAAAATGAATAAAAATCCGGAAAATAAAAGATATAATCTTTTCATCAGCTCACACGATTGTATCCGCAAAAAGGAGTGCTTTCTAATGTTGTATCAATATAGGCAAAGCAAAATATATCAATTCAATAGTGTGAGAAGCACTAAAAGAAACTTTTACAAAAAAATTACAACAAATAAAATAGAACACAATAAGTAAAAATATCACGTAAAAGCAAAAAAATAAAATATAAAGAAGAAACAGAATAATACATGAAATGATATTTGTAAAGCGAGAAGCGAATTCAAATTAACTTACATGAACGGGAAATTTTTCAAGAATGATTTAAAATATTTTCGAAACAAGATTCCCAGATTGCAAAATATGAAGCCAAAAGCGCAAATTGAGGTTAAAGCGTAAGTCGAGTGATTTTATATTAAAGTGTGTTCGTAGTGCAGTACTGAAGTACGTTTGATTTGTTAGCTACCAAGGATGGGCCCGAAAATGGATGTGCGTAAGGTAATATTACACTGGATAATTTAAAGAAGTTGACAGCTAATAATTTCAGAAAATTAACATTTATTTAAGAAAAAAATATCAAATTGAAAGGAGAAAGAAACATGAATTGTCTGTTTTGCACATGAAAAATTAAAAGCCGGAAAAAAAATGGAAAAAAAAATACAAACTCGTCATCATCTCACACGATTATATCCGAAAAAAGAGTACTTTCTGATATTGTAATATCATAACGAAACCAAAATATATCAATATAATAGTGACTTTTAATTACAAAATCTCATCGCACTGTTTAGTTGAGGTGGTACCAGGCACATCATAATTGGATAATAGGTGAGTGGAAAAAGGTTCTCTAGACTAATTAATTAAGGTTATATGGCGAATTATTGTTTAAGCAAGGAAATAAACCTATCGAATATCTGGAATAATAGTATATCTGGCGAAATACTATTAAGGAAGACTTCACAAAAAATATCAAAATTTTCTTTGACAGCAGGTTTAAGCTTGAAAGTGTTTAAAAAAATTATTCTTGATTTTGAAATCAGTTAGCTTACTTTAAGCGACTTGTCAGATTTCTTAAGCTTTTCCCCCCTCGTTTTCACGTTTATTTACGATTTTAAACGTGTATACTTTTTATCCTCGTAAATTTTTTATATGGATTTTATAACAGTATTTACATTTGCAGTATTCGTCCGCCTTCCACGTTCTTCTTTCAGCTACGTAACCGGCCAAACATGTGCATCTGGTATATTTGTCAGAAGTGAATTCACAGGAAATGCTATTTGGTCCACAATCACATCCTGTAAAAACAAAAATAACTTGCAATATGTACACGTCACAGGTATATTTGGGAAAATAATCTAAATAACTCTTAAGTTTAACTATAACTGTTTTTGATTCCTATATTTTTAAAACATTTTCTATACTTTATTTTTAATTCTTTACATAAGCCAAAATAATAGGCACTTAAGAGTACCATGAATTTCTGCCATATTTCAAAATAAATGATGTTACTTTGCAAGTACATAATATTTTACTTCCAGAAATAATTTATTGTGAAAATTAAAATATAAAATCAATTTGTATTTTTTTCTTCAACTACACCTTAAATCGGTTTAACGTGAAACCTATATCGTAACAGATCCTATATCGTATCTACATCGTGCGTCGCGAGCATATCGTAGGTCATATTTCCTGTTAACCGTAACAGTTAACAGGAAATAGGACGTAAATTAGCTTCAGCTTTGAATGAAATTGTGATACAAAATTGTATGATACTACAGTTGTCAATGCGCTCCGAACTTTTAAAGTAGTGTATGGTCCAAGGCGAAAATTGAAAATCAGTGTGCCTTACCCAAAACTATTTACCGACAAGAAAAAAAAATAAATGAATAAAAAAATAAATAAATAAAGAATTGATGATATCATCGAAGATTATAATGATAACGTGTTAACACAAAATTTACGGTTTTTATTTTTTCTCAGAGATATGTTATTTTATCATAAACGCTAGTGTTTGTAGTCCGACTGTCAAGTGTTTATGTTACCGTCAATGTATGAGATCTGGCTTTATATACTGTATTGTATGGAATATATTGTATAGAATGCACAATGTAGAATGTATAATATAGAATGTATTCTAAAGTTATATTGCATATAATTTATAAAATCGACTGGGATACTAAGAAATGATTAATATTTTGCACGATATTTACTCAATTCTACGCAATATTTCACTTCTTTTCTATGAAATGACTGATGACAAACCAGCAAAGTATGAGATAAAAATTATTTCACGCATTATAGAATGATTTTTTATTCAATGAATTACTTACAAATTTTATACATACAAGACAAAATATGTAATTTTTCAAAATATTTCATACTTTTCCTGAAAACACTAGGTATTTTAGACATTCTGAAGAATATCGGCATTTTATACATTGATGGCATTGGAGCAAAATTGAAAAATCCATTTTTCTAACGTGGGCAACGGTATCTGCCCCGCTCGCTGGTCAGAAAAGCTTCTCATTTACTTAACGGTGAAGTAAAAAAAAAAAAATGTGTAATAAGCAGTTGAATGAACACAAAACGAAACTTTCAATTGTCAGAAAAAGCAGAAGAAAGTCTAAAATAAATTAAATATTGCTGTAACGAGAGTCTTTTAATTTCAATTTTGGTTGGAAGTGTCGAAATGCGTGCAAGATACATTTAGTTTCCAAACTCTTAAGCTTGTTTCGGCATTTTTTCCTCTTGCCAGTAATTAAATTAGTATCAGCTTTTAAATCTTTTTTTAAAAAAAAATATTTAAATAATCGCTGATTTTTTGCCATAGTTTTTTAAAACATTATTTAACAAAATCTAATATTTTTTCCAATTTCATAGAAACAATTTAAATTAAGCCACTAAAAATACATAAAACACTAAATTTAGCTAATGGAGCGTGATTTCAATTTTTGACATATTGCACACACTATTTAATTGAATATCTAACCGAGATTCTAGTTTAAGTTGGAATTAGAATCATAACGTTGACTCATAACATTGGAATTGAATCTCAAGTCGTAACATTGACTTGAGATTCATTTACAGAGAATACATAAAAGGAATTATTCAATATAAAATCGTACCTGTCGTTTAATAAGCTCACATTTGATTCGGCCCACATTGGATGAGACGTCACAGGCATCGTAATGGCGTGTGAGTTTAATTTTTAACATAATGCAGAGTTGAATATCTAACAGAGATTCTAATTTCCATCTTGATGCATAACAATGAAATGAGAGTTATTTACAGAGACGAGATTAAAGGGATACACGAAATCATTGTCAAATTATATCTATATTATATCTATCATGGACGAAATATCTATCATGGACGATATATCTATCGATAAATTGGAATATCTATCATGGACGATATTCTAGAAACTATTTAAATCTATATAAGCAGATCTCTAACTCGATGATGGGTATTGTGTCAGAAAATGGAATAATATAATATAAGGAACGCAATTATATTTTATAAGGATTGAATAAAACAACATTTCTTTTAAGCCTCTGAGACTTCCTGCATCGAAACTGGCTAAACCAGATGCTAATAAGTAGCTGATATACAGCATTGTGGAAACCACGACCTATAGGAACTATTATTGTAATAGATGATTTATCTTTAGAAGAAATTTCCAATCTATAAAATTGTGCTTAACTTACTTGTGCATTTACCATCTTCTATAATGTATCCCTCTCCACAAGTGCACACTTTAGACAAACCATCTAAGTGGCAACTTATTGCATCATATCCACAATTACATTCTATCATGAAATAAATAAAAACAGTATTTAATTTGTAAATAAAGGAAATGCAAGAAATAAGAGAAAATTTACGATTCGTAAAGCTCAGATTGGATACAAAACATCACCGAACGATTAATTTTTGCATTCTAATAAATAAACTGCAATTTTTTTAAAATGCTAAATTACTGAATCTCACTTTTTTGAATTAACTGGGACCCTTATCTGTCCAGATTGCCAGAAAGCTCCATAATAAATTAGAAAAATTTCATAAATTTCGGAAATTCTGATTATTTCTATCATGTTTTATTTTTTATTGACGTAATTGAAACACGGAGGTGTATCTTCCAATCAAGTTAAATCGAGATGCATCGGAACTTTGGCTACAATCTAGCTACATCGGAAACGATGCCACATCGTTATCCGATATCGATATAAAACACATTCTTGGAAGATTCTATCAAGAAAAATTATGCCAACCTCAAATAAAACCAATAATTTGGTTGCATCTGGTCTACTTAAATATGATTAATTATTTAAGTAGACCGGATGCAACCGAAAGCAATAAAACTTTTGAACAATTATACTATATATATATNTAAATATATATATATATATATATATGTATGTATTCTTATGCGGCACCATAAACTCTGATATTTATTTGCAACAATATAGTTATTATTCATCTCATAGTCTTAAATAACAGTTTAAGTAGTATTGAACATTTAGATATACGTTAAGTATTGATTAAAAATATTTTTGCATTTTTATAGAATCAAAAACTTAGGTACGACGTAATTATATAGAAACAATGTAATATGAAAAAAATGGATAAATATGACAACCGATGCTGACGTCGTCAGGGGGTACCAGCTCCGGAAGTCATAAAAGCAAAACCTGTTCTATCGAGAGAGCATGACAAAAGTCTGAAATTGCTCTCTCTGTACTCCAAAGATTTTGCCAAATTCTAGGAAGAGAATACAATTCAAAATATAAAATACATAAAGCAAATACAGAAGAATGAAAACAAAACAAATACATAAGAATAGTACGCACAAATACTTACTTGAAACAAAAATCAAATTACCAAATTACTCTACTGACTGTGATACACAACTAAATTGAAATAAACATAAAAACAACGCCCCCTAATTTGCGCAGAAGAAAGAAAAAAAGGACAGAAAATAAGAAAGAGTCAGAAAATAGTGACATCATTAACAGAAATGCTTGACCGGGGTATATCGATTAATACTTGGATCTTGCCCTATTGAAAGAAAAAACTAATAATTCTCAATCATTTTCTTAATTTTAAGATCAATATTACAAAAATTAAATGGAAAACCATTATTTTCTAAATTTTTTAAAAAATTACTTGTTACCTCTTGAAAACTTTCAACATTATTACAAATTTTATTAATTCTAAACAATTGAGAAAAAACTAAATTTTACTGATTGCACAAATTAGTATCAAAATTACGGAAGAAAAAACTTTAAATTTAAAAGCCTTTCTTTTATTATAAACACCAATTTTAATTTGTTTATCTACAATATCAATTTTAAAATCTAAATATTCAATATTTAAGCAGTTTTCATTAGTAATTATTTAGTAAGTAATTATTCTTGATCCTTTCTAAAATTGCTGCAAAAATTTTAAACATAAATGGTGCTATGACCAGACTGTCGTGTTTGGTAAGTGAGTTTGCCTTTTTTGGGCTATAGCATAAATATAATTCTCTAGTTACAGCTCGAATAATAAAGCAGGGATAGGTTTTCTATCTTATTTCATGACAGATATAGAAATAATTTACAATTTCTGCGACCTTCTACGCTTAAATGTTTCGATGTTTGTTCGATTTTGTTGCCACCCAGTCTAAGCTTCTTACTTCGCCTTGTTTGTTTCTTGTTAATATTATGATTTTTATTTTTGGAGTTTTTGAGAATCTTGTACTTTCGTAAGAAAAGGAATTTTGTTTTATGTTTTTACATCTCACTTTAAGCTAACTTAAACCTACAATAAATTAGGTCATATAATGATATTAAAATCAAACTTCTTTAGGATATTAGCTAATATCCTAAAGAAGTTTGATTTTAATATTATTTTCAGTCCCATTAATAAGATAAAATTTTCTAATCTCTAGCAGCCCATTGACAGTCAAAGTAGCTGGGGTATATACCAAATTAATTTCCAATGCGGCCTTTCATATATTGGCCAAACTAAGCGTGCCTTAAAGTGCCGTGTGAAGGAACATGAAGCCTACGTCAAAAAACAAGAATTTAAACGCTCATCTATTGCCCAACATTGTTGGGACTCTGATCATAATTTTGATTTTTCTTCTTCTAAAGTTATTCAAAATTGTTCTTCAATTTTTGATTTAGATTTTTATGAGTCCTATAATATTTTCAAAAATTCCAAACTGTTGGTCAATGACCTATCAGCGTCCCTTATCTTTCTCCTGTTTGGAAATCTATGATTAAACCTAACTAACCCCCCCCCCACCTTTTTTGTTCCTTACTTCCCATTCGTCGTCATCCTTTCACCCTTCCCTCCTATTGGCCGTTGCTCTAATCCGCTTGTGACGTCACCTTTCTCTATATATTTACCCTATTTTCTCTCATTTCTTTTTGATGCAGTGATGAAGGTTGCCATTTGAGCATCCGAAACAGCTGTCTGCTTTTAATAATACTTTTGTGCTCTTTAACGTTGTCTACCTTAGTTTGTATTTTAGCACAAACGTCGCCCACTTGTGTATTTAGGGCTAGAAGAGTTAAAATATGAATAAAATATAATAATTACAGTTATGTTGTGAGTTAGGCTTTGTCATTATTAAAGTATATATGGTGTAGGAGATGATTTTGAAAGATGACAACGCTGAGTCGCTTAAGGCGGCTAGTATACCTAAAAATGTAAATGAAATATGATATTGCTGTTACAAAGTATTCGAGCATGACCTTTATAAAAGCTGCTTGTTAAGACTGCATCTTTGCAGGATCTATTATTAATTTTCTTCTTAGGTTTTAGAAATGGGGAAATTGCTTAAATTGGAGTCTTCATCGTAGAAGGTAAGGGGACAGATCAGTCTTTCATGTCCCATTACTAACCAATGATTACTTAATGATTTGTCCACAAACAAGAAACTCGCGCCCCTTGGATATTTTTTGTCGCTTTATCAATACCAGGATCACATAAAAGATTTCCGAATAAAGGATATTAGAAATCAGAAAGGGGTAAAGCATATTTAGAAGGATTAAATAAAACCTTCGACTCAAAATTCCAATGTCTTCAGTTGCTTATAATTAGTTTTTCGTACTTTTTGACCCTAATTCTGATTAGCAAGAGTCTTAAAACTTCCTGGCATTTTTTCACGCCACCAACAAGCCTTTCACATTTTGGTTAATTTGAGAAAAAAAATTTCTTCTAACTGAAAATAAAGGAAAAAATAGTTTTTGGTAGGAAAATACTAAAGGTGAAGGAATGCCTTCAAGTATGAAATGAATGAACTCATGAATTGAGGATATCCTGTGCTTAGTTACAGTTGAATTTTCAATTGTTCAAGTTAGAAGTGCATCACTTCTCAATTTAAAGAGTGCAGTTCAGATTGTTTATACCTATACTATTATTTAAGAAGTGATTGCTGAATTATCATGCATATAGTTACTTTTATACAGTTGCAAATTTATTAAAGCAGGGTTAAAGAATTCATGCCAAATGGAAATTTCCACATGCATAAATCAGGCACTTAGCAACTTTCAGTTTGTCAGATAGATACAATATTATTTGACGAAAATTATTGTATTACGGTACAAAGACATTCCATAATATAACTAACCATAACACAATTAGAAAGCAAGTAGAAGTGTTCAGTTGCCATTGCTAAAATTAGAGACTTAGCGTCTTCTAAATTAGAAGAACACATTTCATCCTGTTTCATAGCTAAACTAGCAGCCGTTGGTGACCGGTTTGGTCATATTTCGAGAAACATAGAAACTTTAAGGGTAACTAAGCCAAATGCACGGCATAGTGGTATTTAAATATTCTAATTCTTCAAGCAAACCAACCCAAACACCTTAATTAGTTTTAAACAATATGCATTAACAAATCTTTTCACCGTGTAGCTGCTGCCTGCGCGAAAATACTTTGATTTCAATTGATCTTAGTAATAATTTAAAATTTTTCCGACAGCTATCAAATCACAAAAAATACCATACGTATGAGTTCAGGACAGTTCAGCATAGTTGGGAGTTTTTATAATAATCACTTGTTTTCCACGGGTTTATATGCAATACTTTAATATTTAAACATGCCTGTCTTTTATTCAAGAGATTTTTAATATACTTCCTATTTGTATTTATTTAAAACATATTGCATTACAATGTTGACCAATTGATACATCAACGTAAACAATTGCGCACTGGTTTCAGTTGCGTACACACAATATATATATATATA